ATTTCACAGGCTCATCCACAAAAGGGTTAGGAACCAATCCAGCACCTGAATTAATCTCACTTCTAACACCCTCACCACCCAGAACAGCCTCAGAAGACCGCACCTCAACAGCAGGTAGGGAAGAAACAACAGAATTCAAACCACTATGCATAACATCAGAGATAGGACCCCCCAATCCCCACATCGACAGACGCAGGGACACGATCAGAGGGTGAGCACTCTCTAACTAAAATATAATTAGTCATCGAATTAACCTTCTCAGAAGTAGCTATGGCAACACTAGAATCTATTCCCTTCACCACACCCACATTTTCAACAGAACAAACAGGTAAATCAGACGAAGTCACAGTAACCGAATTACCATAATCTAAACCAGAGCCCACAATAACATTATTAACCCCTAAACTATTCTCAACATCCCTAATAACAGAATCCACTTTACCCGAACTAACATCAAAACCAGAGTCCACCAAACCAACTGAGGAAACAACACACCCAGCGACCTGGCCAGCATCAACAGAAAATAGTGTAGAGGAGGGATCGATTAAAGGTAAAGGGGCAATAACGAGTCAGAAGCTGGTGTCACCAGCGATGGAGCCGAATCCACAGCCGGGAGTAAATGCGGGAATAATTTAATGCAATTCGACTTTTTATGACCAACAGCTTTGCAATGTATACAAAAATTTGGCATTCCCTCAAAAACAACTCGCTGGATATACCCCAGATTCTCCGGACCAAGCCAAATAGAGTCCGGGAACGATTTAGAGATGCCGATTTCTACCAGAATACGAGCGACTGAAGGTCGCGAACCAACGGTCGTGGCATTATCGATGTGAATCGGGCAACCAAAAAGCAAACCCCAACCAAAAAGGATTTTAGGAGAGAACAGATGAGGACGAAGCCCCGGAAAAGAAATCCACACCGGAACAATCAGAGACTCCTCCGACAGATCAAGTAGAGGAGACCACTTGATCACTTTCATGAAACAACCAAAAACAAAATATGATCGATGCGCAAAAACCCTCCCATAGTCAAGATCATTAGAAAGCTTAATCAACACATTCGATTGATCCAATAAAGTCACAGAGAAATCTCCCGAGAGTTTAAGATTGAAAAAGAACCTACGAATCGAATCCAAAGGCGGCCGTTTAAGCGGAAACTTCCCCACTAAAGCAAACTCAAAAGGTTTCGCAATATGCAAAAACTCATCCTCCGAAAACCACAAAGCGGGCAAATAGTAGACACACGAAATTCCAGAAAAACCTTAGATGCATCCAAACCAGACAAAACATCTTTGAAGGATTTGGAATGCTTACCCTCAAGAAAGCCAGGATCTAACCTTTTATTTGCCATAAGAAAAGAGGGGCGAGAGAGAGCCGGCGCCGGAGAAGAAGGAGACGGCTAGGGCGAAAGCCCTAACCGAGCGAAAAACCCTAGCAAACGGGAATAGAACATGGATGTGGCAGGTGAGAGTTTATAACTCTTAGAAAATTTGATCACTTAATTGTATATTTCATATCTTAATCTAATATAAAAATTCAGCACGGAAAGATAAAAATAGTAAAATCAAAAATTTTTAAGTGATAAATCTGAAAAAGGGAAAAAACTTATAGGGCCTAACCCAAGTGAAAAATCCATTATATAAGAGGTGATACAAAAATTCTCTCTTCCTCATAGTTGAAGAGGATAAGATTATTTGAGAACAAATATCTAATTTTTCTTGTAGGGATTACAAAAATCAAGTGTCCACAAATGAATAGTTAACACTGAAGAACAATGCTCGATTTTCTCTATAGCAATTATAGAAGTCTAATGTCCACAGGCAGATAGTTAATACTTAATAATAGGATTACATCTTGATCACCCATTCCAAGATTGCTCCCGCATAAGCATGCTCAATTTTGAAGTTTCTTAATTGAAATTTCAACCATTACAATAAAATGCACCTCAAATTTTTAAGAGTTTAACTTCTTTTTACTTAAAAAAAAATTTACAATCTTCTCCACTTAAGTAACTAACTTCATTGTCAGTATCATTATCCTAGAATCATCCACCATGCAATAGAATTTTAGAGGTGGCCCTTACAAATTAAGTGGTGGCTCCTACCTTTTTTTTTTGGTTAAAACCCATAAAAGGGGGCTTACATGTTGATAAAAAGGGAGGTTACAAGTCTTAAAAGCTCCAAAGGCTCACAAAAAATATAATTATTAAAGTAAAGCCCAAGAGCCAAGAGAACAAACTAAACCAACAGAAAGAAAAATAAAGACAACAGAAAAGGAAACAGAAATCAGAAGCAGCAGCCAACAACAAAACCATAAAATGTGTGAGAGACAATAAAGACAGCCAATCTATAGGAGGAGGAGCCACCAAAGAAACTGCAAGAGCACTTGCACGACAAGAAAGGAGACAAAAACCACTTGGCACCAAATCAATCCAACAAAGACGCACCAGAAAGCTACCCTCGAAAACAATAACAAAAGACCAAAAGATGGCCTCCATAACACTTTGTAATGTTTGACACTTAATTCTCATCTTCTCGTTGGTGTGTTGCTCTGATACCATCTTGTAATAGCCCAGATTCTTAACTATCCAGGTATTGCCTATTGTGTATTAATGGCCTCATGATTTTATTTCGTTGGTGTAATTTTCAAGAAAAAATCACTCATCTTAGGATTGCTCATGCACAAACACGTTACACTTTATGTTTTTTAATAAAATTTTTATCATTATACCAAAATGCACATTAATTTTTAATAGAAGTTTCCTTTTTATTTAAGAAACTTCTCATCTGCAAATTGCTGAGAATATAATTTAGCATGTGAATCTTCTCTCTTCTCTTATACATATTTTCTTATACGATGAATTATTCTCTTCTATTAGTCTTATTTTTTTTCCACCTAAAACTTTTCATGTAAACATGAATGTTTCTTAATTAGTATTTTTTTCCCTATCTTAAAATTACTATTTTAGCCTCGCCCACCACCAACGGATCATCCGTATAGATAAAAGTCAATAAATATGAAGTTTAAAAATTTAAACGAAAACTTGGTCATACCGTTGGGAGTGACAGCAAAAATGCCGTGCTGAGGACAATAAGCGTAGTCAATTTGACTTTTTGAGATCAACGCACAACCGAATATTTATTGTGAAGCTTCGTAGCACAAACAAATATTGTAGTTAGACAGTCTTCAATTTATTTTAATTAATTAGTCAAATTCAAATTAAAGGCGACTCGAATATGAATTACTCAAAATCAAAGTATTTTAGATGAATTTTTGTTATTAATATTTACAAATAGGTCCATCAATAAATATGAAAAAAAAAAACTATTTGGATCTTCATATTGACAAAAATTATTTCAATTATTATCAACAAAAATTAATATTTTGCGAATTTTATAAATGATTATACTCTTTAAAACATTCATTAATAATGAATAAGGGTGGAGTCAGACCTTTTTTTAGGGTGTACAAAATATGTAAGAAATCTATGAGTCTATGAGGCAATAATTATTAGAAATTTTGGTATGGATTGACCCAAATACATGAATGGAAGCAGCAAGATGATCAATCAAGGTCAACATGTATGACCTTCGAGATCATTTTGAGGATAAAAAGCGTTACTAATCCATCACATTCAAATCTAGAGGGAGCTGTTATTATATGCAACTGATTACGCATCAGGACGCTAAAGTTTTAGTTGGAATGATTGCGGTGTTTTATAAAGTTGATTCATTTTGCTAATATGCTTATAGAAAACAGCTTTTCACTGCATAAATTTATGAAAAAAAATAGTGAGAAATCAAGAAGAATGCAGTAGTTAAACAAATTCGTGGTTAATGTCTAAACAACAAAGTAGTCCCAAATAGACCCTAAAAAGATTTTATGTCATAACAAATATTTGGAACCGATCATTTAGTTGCCATAAGCTTGCTTAATTAATGCAAAAAAGCCTTTGCAATTAAGTTTAAGGCATTTTTTTTAAAATCTTAAATTGGTATTTCTCTAATAATGACATCATTTCTCTTTTACTATTTTAAAAATTGAATAAGACCTGCATTACCATATGCATGCGACTTTAATGGACCACTGCAGTTGAATTTAATTCAGTATTCAATAATTGAGAATAAATATGATATTCCAATCACTAAGGCATTTCATCCACAGAAATTGCTCTTCTAGATAAGCACTTTCAAACAGATAACACAATATAAATGCGTGATACTATGTCAAATTAATAAAATATAATGAAATATAAATTAATATTATTACTTTTTTTGGACATTTATGTTGATTAATAAGATAAATTCATACACATAGGGGTGTCAATATTTGACACGACACGAAAACCCGATCCGAACCCGACTCGAAAATTTCGTGGTAGACCTGACCCGTTTTCCAAATGGGTCGGGTTTGGGTTACCGGATTCGACCCGTTTGAAAAATGGGTCGGGTTTGGGTTGACTCGACGGGTTGCCGGACCAACCCAGAAACCCGTTTAAAATGTTTGCCCGGCTACCCGCATACCTGCCCACCTCCTGCTCGGCTGCCTGCGGAGCTGCCCGACCCTGCCCGCCCCTTGCCCACGCCTTGCCCGCACGCCCAGCGAAGTTGCCCGGCCTGCTAGCACGCTACCGAGCGCCCGAGGCTGCCTGTGCAGCTGCCCGCTCGTGTTCGTGCCAGCACCCGCCCACGCGGCCTTGCCAGCCCGCTCGCATCCGTGTCCGAGTCCGAGCCCGCATCCGTGTCCGCGTCTGAGCTTACCTTCCCATGTCGGGTCGGGTCAACCCGGCAACCGGCCGGGTTGGGTCTGGGTTTGGATTTCCAACCCATTTCCTACCCGGGTCGGGTTAGGGTCGACTCGTTTGAACCCGGGTCAGCTCTGAGTTCGGCCCGAACACAACCCGTGACCCGAAATTGACACCCCTACATACACACATCACATATACAAGACTCAAACCCAAGACTTCTTGATTAATAGTCAAAGCTAGCTCTCAGCCAATAAATCAAAATGAATTACATAATTAATATAATTACTCGAGGAATTAGAGTACCGATAGTACAATCTCATTGACCCAATTGATAAAACAACTTGGCATTTTAAAAACATCTATACAAAGATAAACCTTTGTTTGATATGTTTATAAATTTGTTTCACCATTACAAAATCCACCATATATCTACATAGCCTTGTTCGTGATCAACAGCAGGCAACAGCCTAATCTATATACCCTTTATCTCATATCCTTCTAAATCTTTATAATTCTTGTGATATATTGATTTTTGCTCAATTTCCGCTATTTCGCCCTTTATGATCGTCCTTTCATTTAGCCATGAAATAATATCTGAAAAGACGATATCGATGCTCTCAAGAGGCTCTGCTGAGGTTAAGGCGTGCCACATGCCAGGATACAATTTGAAGGACTTGTCTTCACTTGAAGCCGACTCGTAGAGCAATTTACTCACGCCGGGATCAGTGACGATATCGTCACCGCCATGAACAATCAGGAAGGGCAACGAAATCTGAAATTTACACAAATATATTAAATGCTTGGTTAAAATCATAAATTAATTTTAAATTGTTGATATGCTGACTCAAATTATATCATGATTATTTTGAAAACATTAGATTTGTTTTAAAATTAGTTTAAATTTTAATTATTTTTATAGCACTAATCTAAAAGCAATTTGATAATTTTAAAATTTCTCTTGATATGATACGTATCTCAATGTCTTGACATAGTTTTTTTTTCAAATATTTTTTAATAACTTATAAGAGGAAGACTAGTCATTGATGTTGTAGATGTAAAGTTTTTGAATGAAGCTTAGGTTTCATTTGGGATGGCTTTTTTATTGTTTTTTAAAGCAATTTTTTAGTAAATTTTTATACTAAAAAGCTGCTTTAATAAGCAAAAAAAATGCGTCCCAAACGAAACCTTAGTTTGGGAATACTTTTTTAATGCCTTGTAAAGTAACTATTTAGTTAAAAGATGTCTTAAAAACAAGAAAAGTAGGGATCTAAAGCTATACCAAATGATGCTTGAATCTATAGAAATAGGTCAATTATTAATTATTTTAATATATGATAAGATTTAAAAATTATTAGATGTGCTTTAAGATTAGTAGTTGTGTTATATTTGAAGAATTGATAAACACAATGCTAATCTTAGAATAAATTTGACGATCATGATATAATTTACATCTTTGGTGCCTTGGGGTTTTGGGTTGTGTGGGTCTTTTGTTTGTACAGGTTGCTATTGTGGTGTCTGATTTTTGGATCTATGGACTTCGGATTTGGATGAAACTTTTGCTCTGTATGTGATGGTTGACTGCTGGGCATATATTTCCTCTGTCTCCTTCATGGTTTGTTTCTGATTGAGCTGGTCTCTCTTTTGTTGTCTCTTTGTTTGTTTTTAGATGGATTCCGGGGCTTTTAGGTTTTATTTCAATTGTTGTATTTTAGTGAGCTTTGGAGTCTTTAAGGACGTGTGATCTCTATCTATTTTAACCTATAGGCGCCTCCATGGGGTTTTATCCAAATATATATATAATTTGCATCAAAATATTTCGACATAATTTTTATTTGATAATTACTTAAATTGCGGAAAACAGCCTTGAGGAAAAATGAATTTATTTACCTGGTGGAGGTTCTTCTCAATATCTAAGCTAACCAGGAGAAGCTCGTGTGCAGTCTTTAGCCTAGGTCTTCCCTTAAAACAAAGGGAATTAGAGCGGATCTGTCATGATTAGTAGAAATAATTAGGAATTTAAAAACTTAATTAATTATAGCAACATAAATAATCATTTATAATTAGAATTAATTAAATAATAATTTCCACCTCTTTTCTTTTCTCTGGATTCTTAAATGCAACATCAATGATATCCTGAGTTGGAATAATCCTCCATGTGGGTATAACTTTGCTTAGCTTTGACAAAACGTTAATGACCACAGGATGAGGCTTCATTTCTTCTGCAATCTGAAAAAGATAAATAAACAAATATAATTAATCAATGGCTAATCAAAGAGTAATTATAGTTTAATACAGGTTTATGTAGTAGTTAAGAAATGTTTAATTAAATTATAATTAACCTTGCACATTGGTGCCACCAACACTGCACCATTCCAGTAAACCGGTGCTTTCCTGTGAAGGATTAGAGCCACAGCTCCTCCCATGGATTCTCCCATCAGAAATCTCTGTTTCTTCTGATTTTCAGGTTTTTCTGATCAATTAAATTATCATCAATAGCAAGAAAATTGTAACAGATTTCTAAAATAATTAAAAATAATACTCAGTATCAAAAGCTGGGAGCTAATTAAATATTTTCATTAATTTTTATGATAGTTTTCTAAGTTCTTAAAAGATTTTCAAATTTTAGATAAAATAAATAAAAATGAAGCACAAACCTACAAAAAAAGGGTGATGATGAAGTAAATATTCAAATGCAAATAAGGCATTAAAAATTTTCTTTGTTTGCCGAATAGTCAATGAGAAATATTTTAAGCTTATAAAAACTAAGTAGGACCCTTATTGTGCTTAAGAGGTTAACAGCTATACATCTTATAAATAAAAAAACTCAATTTACTTGGTGAGGACGTTAGGATGCATTAGCCTGAAATTTTTATTCATTATTTTTTGAGAACTCGAGCATCAAAATATGAACTCAAGTTGATAAAAAAATGGAAAATGTTAATTTTTAAATTCAACCCGAAGCAAAATTAAATTACATATTCTGTCCAAAAGTTTCTTCCTAAATCCCCTAAATTCAAATCCAAATATGATTCAGTAAATCACATATTTAGGTTTCGTTTGGGACGGCTTTTTTATTATTTTCTAAAACGGAGTTTTAGTACAAAAATAAAAAATTTTGAACTAAAACTCCGTTTTAGAAAGCAGTAAAAAAGCCGTCCCAAACGAAGCCTTAACATGAAAAGGAAAAGAATATAATATTCTTAAACTTTGTTTGAGACAGTTTTTTAAGACAATTTTTTAGTATAAAATTTTTTTTAACTATAAAATTACTTTGAAAAATAGTAAGAAAATTGTCTCAAATAAAATTTTTATTGTTGGACATTTTATACTAAAAAATTATCTTAAAAACAATAAGATCATGAATTAGGGCAAATCTCTTACCACAAATGCTCATGAAATGATTCAAACAATCATCCACAAGGCCATCGAAGCTGGGCACATAGCCTTGTAATCCTGTAGACTTTCCATGTCCTTCATAATCTATCCCATAAACTGCAAACCCTGCCTTCACCAATCTCGTTGCAGTCTCTGAAATATTGCATATCCAATTTTTATTAATTCTTTTTTTTTTTTTCAAATCAAAATTTGTACTAATACACAATTAATTTGAAGCTTATAAATTTCAAAGCTTTACCTCTCATAGATACGCTGCACTCCATCGCATATCCTGAAATGTTTCCAGCAGGTAAAAAGAAGTACAGAAATATCAATACCAATTCCCAAAAAAAAAGAAAAATGATTTAAAAATTATTATTTTATTATTTAAAATTGGACTTTTACCATGGCATAAAAATATCAAAGCTTTTGACTTCCCCTTTTCTGGTAGCCATCTGCATGTGAACAGCTTTAAACCTCGCGAACTACATATAAACTCCTATTAAAAAAAAAATTTTTAATGCCAAAATTAAAGCTATAAATTAAATAGAAAGAGAAAGACGAAGTAGAATGAAAACTAAACAACTAATTACCTCTTCATATTTGATAACTTCATTTCCTTTTTCCTGAATAAACATCAAAATTCAGAAAATAATATCTACAATAACATAGAAATCGTAAGAGAGAGAAAGAGGAGAGAGAGAGAAAGAGAGAGAGAGAGAGAGAGAGGAACCATGAGAGGATGCATCAAGCTTCAAGCCGTATGGAAGGAGAATAATAAGAAAGACAATTGGAAACTGGAACGAGAAGCTTATTCAGAATTAGAAACAAAGATTGATAAGGAAATATTTAGAAATTAGGAGAAACAGAAGATGATGTTCATTGGTGGCTATTAGACTATTTATAGGATGACGATGGAAAGAAGATGAATGCTTGAACTGCATAAGTTTTTCAACCAGAGTTCAGGACTCCAGTTATGACCGTCTACGATCAGATCGTTTGCTGATGTGTATGTGCGACGGTGCGCCACGTCGGAGGTCTCAATGTTAGTTCTGTTTGCTGTTCATAGCGCGCTTAGTCAACGCGGCTTCGAGGATCTGTGCTGTAACGGCACTTGGAAAACGTTGTGCACCACTCCGTTGTGATAGCTTCTTTTTATTTTTGGGCTGAATAAATTTAAGAAAAAAATTATGTCAGTATATATTCATATAATTTTTATTAGGGTTAAATTTTTAATTATTAAATTTATTTTGATATTAATATCATGAAAATGTTATATTGTGGTCATTTTAAAAAAAAATTAAAATTTTTAGGTTATATTTTGAATTAATTTTATAAATTTTTGTTAAAAAATGATATTTTGAGAATGTATAATAAAAATTAAGAAATAGTTATTACTATATAAATATTAAAATATTAGCCTTTTAAAAAACGTCAATTATGCCTGATAAAGAATTGTCATATTCAAATGCATGGCCAGATAAGAATTCCAGAGGACGCCAAAGTTGAATTTTTTTTTTGGAAAAAAATTTTAAGTTAATTATTTTTGTAATCTGCTTGTCTATGAAATCATTGCATAAAGCCAAAGAGTCATTAAAAAAATAATAATAAATATAAGTTGAAAAATTAAAATTTCCTCCGACAA